AAACCCAAAATGAGTGAAGGTAAACTGAAGCAATAAATGGCAGCGAGGGTAGCCAACACACAAAGACTGGAAGGTCTGATGTGCGCATGCGATGGGGCATGTGTCAGTCGGGAGTGGCCCCTGCTTATTAAATACCTTTAAATGCCCACATCTAAACTACACTACAAGTAAAAGTGTAACAACAATACAGACTATATGAATGCTTGAGTACAGTCACTTCATTAATCAACATTATACTGACCTTGTACATATAGATATACTGGTTCAGTGATAGCTCCATTGGGTCCTTCACAGGTAACTTCTGTACCATTTACTTCACTAGTTGCTATTAGGCTGAGTGATGCCATACTACCAGAGGATAATTCTGAACCATCAACTGATGGATTAGTCACAAAAGAGGGATTAAATTGAGTCACATTAATAGCACATTCAAATGTCACATTACCATTGACATATACATATTGTGTCTCTGGTACAATAGTGAAGGAGATGTCTACAGCTGAAACTATAAACAGTGTAAATGATATAATTGCACCTAAAGTAGTTCTAAATTTTCAATATCAAAATTAGAACTTACCAGAAAAGAAAATTTTGTAGAAAATCATTACAGCAGCAACAAAGGCCATCATGTTCAGTGAACCAACCATGCAATTTGACAATAATGTTGTAAAGGTGTGGCTTTACATCCTACATATCTCATTATGTATGCATGCAATTTTCTTAATTACAATTTCTCAGACTGGTAGCTTGATATATATATACTATATATACTAAATATACTATATACTAAATGAATATACTAAATATACTAAATATACTAAATGAATGCTTGAGTATAGTCACTTCATTAATCACCATTATACTGACCTTGTACATATATATATGCTGGTTCAGTGGTAGCTACATTGAGTGCACGGCAGGTAACTTCTGTACCATTTACTTCACTTGTTGCTGTTAGGGTGAGTGATACCATTCCACCAGAGGATAATTCTGAACCATCAACTGATGGATAAGTCACAAAAAAGAGATCATTTTGAGACACATTAATAGCACATTCAAATGTCACAGTATCATTGACATATACATATTGTGTCTCTGGTACAATAATGAAGTGTATGGAGGCACTTGTACCTAAAGTATTGAAATCCAAAAATTTTAAATATCAATATTAGAACTAACCAGAAAAGCAAATTTGGCAGAGTATTATTAAAGCAGCAACAAAGACCATCATCATGTTGTTCAGTGAACCACCCATGAAGTACAGTTTGTTTTGTAAAGGTGTGGCTTTATACCCCATACTGGTTGTATTCATAGTCAAAATAAATATTTTAAATAATTATTATAAGTATTTTCAAGGTTATAATTATAGTCCGGTATACATAACTTACTTGATTGAAATCCAACAGTTATGTTACTAGTAGATCCATTCCCAGCTTTATTAGTAGTTGTAACGTTAAACAGATATTGTTTATTGGTTGGGTTCATTGGACAGTAAGTGTAGTTAGTGATAGAGTCATTAAGGTACTGTTGATCAGTTCCTACACTGATTATATACTGTACTGTTAGTCCTGGTAGTGTGAATGGAGGATACCAACTGATAAACATACAACAAGAATCTAACTGATATCTTGTTAAACTACTGACACTATCAGGTGGACCTGTCAAATGATAAAAATTGATTAAGTGCATTCAATCATTGCCCATTTGGTAAGAAATAATAGTACTTATATAATAGCTCAGTAAATGCATTATACTGACCTTGTACGTATAGATATGCTGGTTCAGTGGTAGCTCCATTGTGTACTATACAGGTAACTTCTGTACCATTTACTTCACTTGTTGCTGTTAGGGTGAGTGATGCCATTCCACCAGAGGTATATATTGAACCTGCAACTGATGGATTAGTCACAAAAAAGAGACCAAATTGAGTTGTATTAGTAGCACATTCAAATGTCACAGTATCATTGGCATATACATATTGTGTCACTGGTACAATAATGAAGAAGATACTGCCAATAGCTGAAACTATAAACAGTGTAAATGATATAATTGCACCTAAAATAATTCTAAATTTTAATCAAAACTTACCAGAAAAGCAAATTTGGCAGAGAATCATTACAGCAGTAACAAAGGCCATCATGTTCAGTGAACCGACCATGCAATTTGACATTAATGTTGTAAAGGTGTGGCTTTACATCCTACATACCTCATTATGTATGCATGCAATTTTCTTAATTACAATTTCTCAGACAGGTAGTTTGATATGTACTTATCTACTACCTTCTACTACACCATAAGCAGCACACTCTGTATTAGTGCAACCAATTAATATCAATAAGTACTTCATTTTGACTTCCCCTTATATTACTATTCTATGTGGAAACTTAACCATATATAGAATGTTTACCATGGTATTAAAATTTTTTGAATGAGATTTTTTTACTTGTTAAAATTTACCAAATCCAGTCCAGCACACACACTAACTCTAAAGTCTATTACCCTCTACTACACCATAAGCAGCACACTCTTCCATTGATAGTTCC